AATATTTGTGCTGATCCCAGAGGCTCCAAGGGTGGTCTGCTTGAAGCGGATAATACAACCGACAAGTCCCAATTGGGCGGTTTCCTTGTTCGGGTCTAGGCTTCTGATGGCAAGCAGTAAATAGTCTCTTAATAATAGGACAATCGACTAGTCTTGTCCCCAAAGAATTCTCGATGGTGGGTGACAAGGATGGCCTATATCCAATGATCGCTGCATCAGACAAATGAACGAAACAATCAGCTACCTAGCCAACAGCGGGATGGCATGGATCTATCTCCACTTCCACTGCACCCATCAATGTACACCCACCATTTTGGGATGTAGGCTGCGTTGATTGTATCCCTTTTCGCCCTGACCAGGACGTTGGCAGCCCGCTCAGATAAACCTGAGTGAGTCAACTGAGAGCCACGGTTTGTGTAAATGGTACACCACTGGGCTGATTGTCAGTGCACTGTTCAGTTGGGACAGCACATCCGGTAAGTCCGGAAGCACCACTGGTGTTTCGACTAACATTTCCAACAGTAGCGGAAACCAGACCTTGCTAGGCCCGTTGGAGGCTACCCCTTGGGGTATCTGCCACTCCGTGTTTTTGAAATGGAGTCGCCACAAGAGGGCGTCCGCTTGACTATATTGCACCCCTGGAAGGTGGTGTGCAGCTAATTCCACATTGAATTCCATGTACCAAAGGAGAAATTTCTCAACTAGAACTGACCGCGATGGGGATCTGTCCCCCCTCCTTGTTGATATAAAAGACCACCTCTGACTCGAACTATTGGTAGAAAGTGTATCAGTGCTAAGTGCCCTACTTTCAGTATGTAAGTATAAGAAAATACTACTCACAAAATGTATGAGAGTTGAAGATAGATTCAGACTTTGAGCAGAGAAAATAGTCAGCAGTTACCCCTTTTCTATTTGCTATAGTAGTATATGGTTTGTGGGTTACACTCAATTTCTAGTAACACATATTAACAGACATAACAGTTTAAATAACAATTTAAAATTTCAAAAAAAGACTCATCAATGAAAAGCACAGAGTCATTTGTATGTTGCGACAAGTTATTTTTTCGTGACATTGATGGCAGTCTGGCATGTCTTCATGAAACACATTTCCCAGGAATTCAACTAGTAGAATTGACACTTGATTTACGTTCATATACTCATAGTCACATACTGTATAAAAGTAAGAGTTTATTTCCATTACTCCTAAATAATCAGCCATTTGATCTTGTTTCTTCATCCGCCACGCCTTCATCTCTTCTTTTGTTGGTTGTTTATAATCTGTGAAAGACAGGAGACTATTATACAGCCATTTTCTCTTCGTCCATTGCAAGAATTCTGTTTTCTATTCTCCTTTACCAGGGCCTATTCAAAATAGAGAAGAAATCAATATAAATGATCTTGTCATCTGTTCAGACATTACATCAAATGCATTATATAGCAGATGCCATATTTTCTTTTTTTCTCCAATTGTTTTGTGTTCTTGGACTTGGCAAATTTCAGTATATGATTTAGGTTATTTCAAATTCAATGTAAATTACCTATAGTTGAACACCTTCACTATTAGTTTGCTGGACAGTAAATAGTACACAAAGTACAGCCTATAGAGGTCTCATTAAATTCAGTAATGCTGTTCATATGTAATCTGCCATTTTCAACTTGGCTTACCTTTTTTAATTTTTCTTTCTTTAATCTTTCAGCCTCTTCCTCGCTATCTTCTTTCTTTTTTTTCCTCTTTTTATTTTTCTTTCTTTTGCATTATCATCTTTTTCTGGTGTTTCTATAATCATAAAATTGTTGTATAAATATGACAGTATTGGTGTTCATAAATGTGTAACGATGCACCTCTGACATCAACACCTAGTATTTCCTACTAACCTTTAGTAAAGTTTTTGGTAAATCTTTTTCTTCCTCTTGTTCTTCACCTTCCACTAAACCATCTATTATACTGTCAGATACTAACTTGCCAGCTTCACCAGTACAGTAGGAATGTTTATGGTCAAATAAACAGGAAGTGGTTAATTTCAATCCAATATGGCTGCCAAACCAATTAACCAATCCAAATTCTGAAAGTAAGATGCACCTGTTCACATTAGGGACTATCAGTATGGAGAATTCCAGACCATTCCGTTCAGTGGTTTTCCCAAATGACTATATATGCATATACAATTATAATATTCATATAACAGCGCCCCATAGGCGCCTAGCCACATGACCTAGCCATGTGCCATTAAGTTGGAAACATGTATCTCAAGATTAAAATGCACATACAAATTTTCACCCCGATCGGACTAATACAAATGCCTATACTTTTGGTCAGTTTTTCCTATAATCCAGGATGGCGGCCAAACCATGTGACTGTCACACGCAACGTAATATTACCGTAATTGGTATAGTACAGGTGTGATGGTTCAAATACCAAAATGGCAACAGTAACAGAAAGACTTCCCTGGCAGCGATGATAAAATACGAACACGGAGCCAACAGATGAGGTTTCAACTGGTACTGGTATTATTATACTCAAACATCAAGTACAATAACGCGGTAAAACTCCACTACTCCAATAACTAGATACTTAAACTCCAATACAATTCAACGAGATCTCCGATCTGAACTCTGTGCTGAACAACTCCCCTATATATACCCACACTGTCTATAAATAGACCATTACATCAGCATACATAATGAGTCTGGAATTTACTACAAATTTCTAGAATGTTCCATTACCTTCTATTGCCTCCTAAAGTGTTCTATTACCTATTCAACCATTTTCTAAAAAATATAGAATATCCCACCCAGACACAGTACGGTTCTAGAACATTCTCAGTGACTGATATATATTATTTTTCTCACATGCAGCTATGACCAGACATGTTATATAAAAACTCGGCAGTTAATTGGATGAAGCACCTTAGAGAAACAAATGCCCAAACTTTTTGATCCTTTTGTCTTAAAAATACAAAATGGCGACCAAACCACATGACTGATCTGATTTGTTTTAAGGTTTCTGAAAGACTTCAATATAAGTGTGGAATGAGTAAAAAACTACTTTCTGTTTAGAAAAAAATGGTGCCCAAGTTTTATTGCTAATATATGTTACAAATGAGTTGTATTATATTCCATAACAAATCTGACTGTCTAGACCCTCAGAAAGTAGTCAAATAGCCACTTCCGGTTTAATTTCAATCCAATATGGCTGCCGAACCAATTGACCAATCAAAATTCTGAAAGCAAGGTGTACCAGTTCACATTGAGGACTATCAGTATAGAGCATTTCAGACCGTTCGGCGGTTTTCTCAAATGACTTGATGAAGAAAAAGAAAGAAGAAAAAACGGACAAAAAACTTGGGCCCCTAAAAAACTCCAGCGATACTAAAAAAAATTCCCACCTATCCTCTTTTTAGCTCCGCTGTCGACTTTGTCGAGCGGAGCTTATCATATGAGTGATTGTCCGTCGTCTGTCGTGCGTCGTCCGTGTCAATGTTTTACTTTTTCGACTTCTTCTTGAAAACTATAAGCCTGAATGCTTTGATACTTGGTGTATATGTACCTTGGGTAGACCTCTTTTAGATTTGTTCAATTCATGATGATATCTTCAATTCTCTAATTTTGATGAATATTTTTGT